GGGTTGGGGAGGTGTTTTTTTGGGGGGGGGAGGGGGGGGGGAGCGGGGGGGGGGGGGGGGGGCAGGAAATCAATGCCCCCATGGTGAGGGAGGAGGGAATGGGGCTGGGCCAGGTGCTGTCCAGCCATGCCAGGGCGCGGGACAGAGCTACAGCTCATCCGGGGGGCATGGGGAGGAGGGACGGCTCCCACTGCTGCGTGCACCCTGTGAGGGCACAGGGGTGAATGGGGCTGCATAGAGCGGGACAGGCAGGCTGCAGCTGCGGACTGGGGCCAGGGGCCATGCTGGGCTCAAGGTGGACAGTGGCAGCACTGAGAGAGGGGTTATGGGGGAGATTATGGCAAAATTTGGGGTGTCTGTGACCCCCCATAGCCCTCCTTCCCAGCATCGCCTTACCCAAGCGAAGTGTGGCCAAGCCCCTCCCACTGAGAAGAGTCTGGGCATGGCCCCTGGCCCCAGCCTGCAGTGGCAGCCTGCCCTGCTCCACCCCATGCAGATACAGGGGCACATGCCTCACACCCCCCTGCCCCCCGATGCCCTCCAGGGGTGTGTAGTGGCAGGAGCTGCCCCCCCACATCTCCCAGACGAGCTGTGGCTCCATCCTATACCCCACCCCACTCCAGCAGGGCAGTGTCTGCCCCAGCCTCACTTCCTCCCTCACCACAGGAGGCCCTGATTTGCCCCCTCCAAGCCACTCCTCCCACCCCCCCCTCCATCCAGCACAACAGACTTACCAACTGCACATAGCTTTCCAAGCTGTAGGGCTGGCAGCAAGGTGCACTGCATGCTGCACTATGGCTGCATGCGCACACAGGTATTTATCAGCCAAATCAGGCCAATTTCCGATATAGTCAATTTTCTTTATATCTGTGTCGATTTGATATCGGACTGGTGCATCAGTGCACTTCCAATATTTACAAAGAAAAAACATTTTAAAAGGTAAGGAAGACATAAATAAGACCCATGCTTTACCTTCCGAAAGGCTGCCATGAGGGGAGTTATTTTTCTGTTGTCAGCAGCATCCACATCTGCTCCTGCTTGAACTAGTAGCTGAACAACATCTAAATGCCCACCATTTGCAGCAAGCCATAGAGGAGTATTCCCCTTCTTGTTCCGTACATCAATGTGAGCTCCCCTAGGAAAATACACGTTTCACCCAAAGATGGAAGGCTTGAAATAAGCATGAATTGGACATGCATAAATTAAATTACCTTTTACCCTTAAAGTACTGTATTTAAATGATAGGTTTGGTACCTGAATATTTTTTAAACTGTTTTCTGACCTCATCAAACATTATCATCTACAGTCTGATGGTCAGCCACAGGAAAAGGATTCTTTAGGCCAGGGCTGTCCAACTTCTAAGTCCAGGGGCTGCATGCCCAAAGGCCACATGAGCAGGGCTGCAACAGTGGGTACAATGGATTCCCCAGGTTGCATCCTGCACGCACAATATGGGTGTCCCTCGCCCTGCTGCATTATGCAGGCAGAGGCAGGCAGCCCTGCCCCCATGTGGAACAGCATCCTGCCTCACCTGTAGCTCCTTTCAGGCTCCCCTGGCCACTGCTGCCCATATTACCTTGCCTACAACAGCAGCCAGGGTCTTGGGCTCCCCCTCCTTCCCCCAGCTTATGTTGTCTTGTGCAGTCCCCCAGTCCTTCCGCCAGCACTGGGGGACTGCACAAGACAACATAAGCTGGGGGAAGGAGGGGGAGCCCAAGACCCTGGCTGCTGTTGTAGGCAGGGTAATACGGGCAGCAGCGGCCAGGTAGGAAGCCAGGGCTACACACACTCTGCAGACCTCCAGGTGCACAGCCCTGCTTTATGCTTTGAATACTACTTTCATATCAGCTCTCATTCCAAAATAAGCTTTAGACACAATTACAATACTTACAAAAAACCCAGACATCAGCAAGTTGTATTTAATCTCCGATTTAAATAGCGCTATATCAGTAGAAAAAAACCTCATATAAAATTTAATACACAAGCTAATAACCACTATTATAACTTGAGCACCCACTAGAAATCCAGGCTCAGAAGCTGAATCTTCATTTCTAATTATAGATTCATGTTATAATCAGGCTTAGAAACAGAGCAGGTATGACAGCTGTGTTGGTACCTAACATGAAGGGCGCTGTTGAGAGCTTCTGCATAGTAATGTTTAAATTTAACAGGACAGAAGGTTCAATAGGTAATTCCAACAGTGAGGGACAGAATCTTTGATCAAGCTGCTACATAAATGAAGGAAAAAATGAATGGCTGATCCAATACAAAAAACAGCTAAAATATTATTTAAATAAAGCATTGATTTTAAAAGGTTGCTTTTGTTCACTAGTCCCAGAACAGCTGAATTAATTTTAAATAATTGCCATTAAAACCACAATACGAAAGTGACGTTTTATAACAGCACAACATTAAATATGGTACCTGCTAATGAGAAGCTCACAGAACTTGTAGTGCCCTTTGTCTGCTGCTATGGTTAAAGCTGTATCTCTGGAGGAAGGTACTGGGGGAGCATTAACATCTGCACCTTTGTCCAGAAGAACTCTGCCGACCTCTGCATATCCACCAGATGCCGCTTCCATTAATGGTGTGAGACCAGTCTAGGTTAAGTATGGGGAATGAAACACGTTAGAATTTACAGTTGCATGTTGAAGTTACTCCTGTTTTGTTTTAGTTTTTTTGTTAATAAAAAGAAATATACTGGTATATTGGAATTTATATTTCAAACATTACTTTGCAAATCAAATTCATATCAACTCAGCAGCACTTAAGAATGAAAAAAATTGGCTACAATTAAAGATGTACATTTTCAGGAATTTTTGAAGCCTGGAAAAAACAGAAATTTGGGGAAAATTTGAAATATATGCAATACTTATTTTTCTTAGCACCCTTTACAGATCTAAATTCACTCTGCTACTTTAAGAACATAAAATGTATTATGTATAAAACTTGGTTTGGTCATAAAATTATAATGTTTGTGATATTTATTAAAAGTATCATTCATTCAGACAGTAATACAAATTTACTAATTGAATTTACTTTAAGAAATTTTAAATTGTTGTTACAAATGAAGCTACAAGCTGCTGAACTTAAGGAATTCTTATGAGAAGCAAACAAAATTAAAGTTGAAAATAGAAGAAAATATCAACATTATAGTAAAACAAAGAAAGTGATTATGTATTCTGGACTTAGTCTCCTCCACCATTTCAAGCAGATACAGAAAGGAACTCATTTTTAGAAAAAGAGCTAAGAAAAAAAAGGGGGAAACAACGAAGACATATCGAATACAAATTTTGTTACATGAAACTTTGTCTAAGCAGTCTCATTTTCTGAGCTATCACTATCAGCTGTTTCTGCTTCTTCTGATCCTTCATTTTTATCGTCTTCATGGACTTCTGAAAACTGAAGGTTTGCCCAGATTCAGACAAGCTTCTCTACTCTTTCACATGTTAGTTTATTTCTTGATTTGGTGTGAGTATTTTCAGACATAGACCAATTTCTTTCACATATTGTACAAGATGGAGGAACTTGAAGCAAACGAGAAGCAAGGAGAGTCAGAGGCTGTGTCATGTAAAGGTCATGTTGCAGGAGGGATTTTGCTTGGCAGAGTCCCAGACTGCATTCCTGGACCAAATACCTGAAGATGTTCTGTATTCTGCAACATTTGAAAGCACCTTTCCAACATCAGGTCCTAAGTGTGTTGCTTGTTTTGTAATCCAGTCAAATGCAGTAGCAGTGCTATCATCACTAACATTTCTGCCTTTGAATCTTGGATCCAAGAGATTTGCCACAGCATGAATTGACTGGCAACAAAATTCTTCCCGTCTATTAATAAAGTCTTTCACTTTTCTTTTTGCTGTACTTGTAAGCAGAGATACACTCAGATTCTCAAAAACAGTTGATTTTATCTGGGGTATTTGGTAAGGCATGTCTAACAGAAGTGCACTGTCTGATTCAGATGCAGTGACTGCTGAAGAAACTGGCTTTAGACTCTTCAGGTGGGCATGTGTAAAGTGGCTAGTATTCACTTCAGATTCAGATTTGGCCGATTCAGGGGGCAGTGATTCGATTTGGTGATTTGAATCACTGTCCCAATTCAATTTGGCTGAATCAGCCAGGGCAGGCCCATTCACCACCCAATCTCCCAGCCAGCCAATGGCTACCCCACCTGCCCCAGCTCCCAGCAATTTGGGAAAAAAGCCCTGGCTCAGCAGGTGCTGCCAGGTGGGGGGGGAATCCCCGCTGCCCCCCACTCCCCCTGCTGCATGGGGGGCTCTGCACGAGC